AGAGGAAAAGGCATCCCATCCTTGTCGAATGGATTTCCACGCCCCAACTCCTCCCGCAATAGAAACCGGACGTGTAGTCCAACCACCAACATCTTCCCCATACCTGCAAGACACTAATCTGCGCCAAGGACGATGTCTTTCCTTCCCGTATCTCCACAACCACTTACCCAAAAGAGCTTTATTAAAAGGGATCAATCGTCTAATACCAAGACCCCCCAACTTTATAGGCTTGCAAACTTGCTCCCATCTAACAAGATGATACTTGAACTCATCTCCCCTTCCTCCCCAAAGGAAATTCCTTTGAAGTTGTTCGATTCTATTTGCAACGGAGCATGGAATTTGGAACAAAGAAAGAAAATAAGTGGGAAGGCTTGATAAAGTGCTCTTGATAAGAGTTACTTTATCCCCCTTAGATAAATATTGCTTCTTCCAACCAGCCAACCTCTTTGCATACCTATCAAGCACAGAATCCCAACTCCCCACTAACCTGGAAGAAACCCCTAGGGGCAATCCCAAATAAGGGATGGGAAAGGAGTTCACCCTGCACCCAAGAAGTGCGGCTAAAGAAGAGATATCCTCAACATTCCCGACCTGGACAAGCACACTCTTGGCCACATTCACCTTTAACCCGGAAGCTGCCTGAAAGCAAGCCAGAATGCATCTCAAGTATCTAAGTTGAGACACATCAGCATCACAGAAAACCAGAGTGTCATCTGCAAAAAGTAAATGTGAAATCTCCACCTGATTGTCAATATCTCTTCCCACCCGGAATCCCTTGATAAGACCAAGATTCTTTGCCCGTCGCATGAGTCTACTTAAACCCTCCATAACAATTAGAAAAAGAAAAGATGACAATGGATCACCTTGTCTTAAACCTCGAGAACACCCAAAAAAGCCAGCTGGAGAACCATTCACAAGAATTGAGAACTTGAGAGATGAAAGACAGGTGTCAATCCATGTCAAATCCATTCTTTTAAGCAAGTAGAGAAGGAAATTCCAATTGACATGGTCATAAGCTTTCTCAATATCAAGTTTGCAAAGAACTCCAGGAACACCACTACGCAACCTTGAATCCACACATTCACCAGCAATAAGAACTGAATCAAGAATTTGCCGTCCTCCAACAAAGGCATTCTGGGAATCTGAAATAATCCCATCCATAACTTCTCTCATTCTATGAAGTTGAAGTACTTCCTAGGTATTGAAGTTGCTTGATCAAAGCGAGGGATCTTCATCTCACAAAGAAAATATGTGTTTGACTTTCTCAAAGAAACAGGAATGTTAGGGTGTAAACCTATTGTTACGCCAATTGAACGAAATCACAAATTAGGAGAAGGTAGTCAAGATGCTCCAATTGACAGAAGTAGATAGAAGAGGCTTGTGGGGAAATTAATTTAATTGTCACACTCGTCCGGATATTGCTTACGCAGTTAGTGTTGTGAGCCAATTTATGCATACACCATGTGATTCTCATATGGAGGCAATTTATAGAATTCTTTGATACTTAAAGTCTGCTCCTGGTAAAGGGTTATTTTGTAGACATAATCATATGCGAGTAGAATCCTATACAGATGCAGATTGGGCTGAATTAATTTCAGATCGGAGGTCCACATCCGGTTACTGCTCTTTCATAGGAGGTAATCTAGTAACATGGCACAGCAAAAAAGTCAGTTGTTGCTAGATCTAGTGCCGATGCGGAATTTAGAGATATGGCTAATGAGTATGTGACTTGTTGTGGTTGATATTGTTGCTGCAAGAATTGGGGTTTGACTCCAAGGATCCAATGAGGTTATACTATGATAACAAAGCTGCAATAAACATTGCACACAATCCAGTCCAGCACTATAGAACTAAAGTACTAAACACCTTGAAGTTGATAGACACTATATTAAAGAGAAATTAAGTGCAGGTTTGATTTGTACTCCTTATGAGTAGTCAGGTGATCAACTTGCAGATATTCCAATGAAAGGAGTGGCAACTACAAGTTTTTATTCAATTCTGGACAAGCTGGGCATGTGTAATATCTTCGCACCAGCTTGAGGGGGAGTGTTGGAAAGTATCCTTTTATTTTATTTTTTCTATGCTGAAGGGTATATGAGTAATTATGTGTTTATCTAAGATAGTATAAATAATATAATGTGAGAGAGAGTCAGTATGCTCCATTCTTTCTGCTGTCACGTTCTTTTCTTCTCTCAGTTTTCTTCTTCTTCTTTTTTTTCCTAATCTATTTTTCAAATCTCATAAATCAATTGTTTTATCTGTTTATCAATAAAAAAATTCTACATCAACACTCCAAATGATCTAAATAATATTGTTTACCCAGTTGTGTAAATCCTAAATCAGCTTAGCTCAAGAAAGCACTACAAAGTATGTTACCTAAACTCGAGGACGTGTGTCGGGTGCGGATATATGTCTTAGTGTCAAACCTCTCTCAATCTCAAATTTCAGTAAGCGGAAATTCAGTTTGAAATGTGTCCGAAACTACTATACAAGTACATGGATGTGTCTTACACGCTTAAATACATAGTATACTACATACAAGTATATTATATGATGTCATTATTCTTCAAAGGTGAACTCAATAAAAAATTAAATGGAATACGGTGAAGAAATGAGAGGGAAAGAGATTTCATTTATTTCATAAATAGATGACCCTTCTTTTTTTTTATAAGTATAAATAGATGACCCTTCTTGGCTATCAAATTTGAGCTTTTCTTCTTCCATCATCACAATTAAAGGATCGAGGTGTCCAACTTAATTACACATGTCAGACATTTTCCATACGTATACCAACGTCATGTTGCGTCAAAACAAGTACGTCAAGGGCAATAGCCATTACAACACATAAAAAATCCCCTTTCACAATTCAATATCTATATTTTATGTTAAATCCTTCATTGAGCATAGGTCGACTATCAAGTCTCCCATCCTACAATATTTAAGCATGGATCAGAGATTCATATTATAACTCCTCATGCAAGAATGGATCAGAGATCCAGATTATAGCTCCGCGTTAGACATTTCTACTTTCTAATGGGTAAATTCTTTTATATTTCTATCATTTCTGTAAAATTGCTAATCCATCTCAACCTCTTTTCAAGGAAAGACGATGTTTTATAGTTTATCATATAACAATATCAAAATTTATTTTTTTTTGGTGGGTGTGTGTGGGTGTGGGTGTGGGTGTGGGTGTGGGTGTGTGTTGTGGTTGGGGGAGGAGTTGAAAAAACTCATAGTGAAGCCATCCCCATCCGGACCCGGAGACCCATCACCATTACAGTTCTTCAAAGCTGTCAACACTTGCTTCTTGGAGAAAGGCACCTCAAGCCCATCCCTATCCAACACTGAAATCGAATCAAAGAAAAGCCCGCCAAGTTGGGGTCTCCGTCTGTAGGTCTCTGTGTAAGCCTCTGATAGTAGTAGGCAATCCCACTACTCACCTATTTTGACCTTAGGAATTGGAAAAGTTTGAGAGGGGAATTGGAAATGGGGTTTTTAAACCCCATGTGAAAATTCAGTCATCTCAACCCCCTAACCCACTCGAGTCGAGCCGAGATGGTTGTGAATTTTACCTACCCAACGCCTATCTAAGTCTCAACCCTGGCATAGGCCTAATCAGAGATGACTTCACCAAGACGGAGTAAGTTTTGTACCTATGATTGGAACATAATTATGATATAACATAATAATTCGTACAATTTAAAACATCGTAATGGCCATCGTCAACTTTTTATACACCTTCAGTGGGGTTTTTCTCTAGCAGACATTAGCTGAAGAGATCCTTTGGAGATTACTTCTCTGCTGGTGATTTCCTTTGGAGGCTTTGGGAATAGATTAGAAATAGAGTTCCATGGTCATGTGACTCTTTGACCGTTATTTGGTTCACATGGATCAAATGGAACACCAAAGATCTCTATGATAAAGTAATCTTCAATTAACATGTTTTGAAAATGAGATTGTTTTATTTGTCCACTCTATAGACCTTTGTCATTAAAGCATTCCAAGGGGCCCTTAGGCAGCTATTTCACGAGATAGGATTTTATCGATTTCTGCCTGTTTGAGCTTCAGTACCTCCTCCGGTTGGGAGAGATTTAGCTTCAACTTTCATGACCAGTCCTTGGAAATTCAGGGGTCTGTCTAGTGATCGTAGTGGCAACATGATTCTTCTGCCTTGAAGCCAATAGGAACTGGTTTAAGTGTTTATATCATCAAAACTCAGATCCTTGCTTTCTTAGAAACCTTGTTAGAAACGGCTAGCATGCACATTTCTAATATTATGTCTAGGGGGCAGTTGTGATCCTTCATTAATATAGTTCAGCCATATTGGGATCTTAGCAATATGGTCATATGATCAACAACATTAGAGACTTGTATTCTGCTGTGCGTGTAAATCCAAGATGGACTCCTAGATTGGAAAATAAGGAGACGTAAGGTTTAACTAAAAGAGAAACACTTTCTTTTCATCTGCTACAAGGGCAACTTAACAGGGAGTTTTTATTTTGGCTTGGGAAGGTCACTACACCTGGAGGAATGTTGAAGGATACCCCAACTCTATCTTTATTCTGATTTATAGTTCTTATAAAAAGAAGAAACAATCTATAGTCCTATCAAACAATGCTAAGATCCCATAAACCCAAAAACTGAGAGATATAAAATATATATGCATATATCATGAACTCAAGATAAAAGAAACTAATAAATATGTATGGGAACAGATGTGAATCCCACCTCATATGCATACAATATGCTCAAATCAAGTCACTTTTTTTTTTCTTTATAAGCTCAAATCAAGTCACTTTAATCAAATTTAATGTCTCCCTTCTAGGTTTTGCAAACAATAATCCACATTAAACACAGAACAATAACAAAATTATTGTAATATCATGATGATTGCACTTTAAAACAAGCAAGCCAAAAGAGTAAGTTTCTTTTCTAAATTAGATGGAAATTAGTTCTATGAAGTCCAACCATTTTTAATTGGGTCAAATGAAGAGCAGTACCTCCAGAAAACGAACATGAAAAACGGGGCGCTTATCTGGATCCTTTGCCAGAACAAGAAGCTTTTGGTGTAACAATACATCTTCCACTTTATCCATATTAATATCCAACCCATAACTGTAACGAAAAAGCCCACACTAATCAACAAACACAAGATCTTTGCATTGCACTACAACACAAAAGGTTTTCCTAAAGTTGAAACAAGGTTGCCTTTAGTAGTAAAAATCCACCAACACTTGATAGAGAACAAAAACTCAAATTTACTAGCACTTCCAGATCGAGAACATTAGACCAACAAACTTAAAGCATACACTGGATCATAAACGCAATTCGGTGAACAAAAATAAAATTTTCAAAATCCATATCATCTTTTCCGTTTACATTTGAAGCAAGAAATTTAACCCTTAATTCATAATCAAGCAACCCTTAATGCACAGTCATATAAATGGAGCATAAATATTTCATCCACAATTTCTGAATCCCACAGTGCTTTTATTTAAATCGAGATACAAAGCCACCCGCAACCCAATTTAATTTATACACAAAAATATAGCAAAAACAAATAATGCTTCATTAAAAAGTGACGCTTACGATTCAGAACTTGAAATCCCAGCAATACATACGTTCATATATACAAAAATGCATAAAACAACAGATTTATACTTATATATATTTATGTGCATATATATACATGTAAGGAATGCAAAGTATTGAAGATAATGATGATACCTAGTTGGTAATCTACTGAAGTGAGCATCCAACTGCTCCCGTAACTCGGGATTACACACGGCCTCTTCATTTCCACTCTCTAGCAACCGATTATACACATCGTTCCTCAGATCATATCCACTGTAGCCTACAAAACTCCGAGGCGGCGACGAACTCTCTCCCACTCCTTCAACCAAATCCATACCGTTTATATATGAAAACACCTATATCTGTGTATATTTCTCTTCAAAGCTCAATCCAAACCATAAGAACTCTCCATAACCGCATCAAGAAGAACCGGAAATAAGAGAGAGAAAGTAGAGAGAGAGTGATCGGAGAAGATCGGAGGACGGTCAGAGACAGGAGAGAGGATCTTTGACTGTTGATGGAATCTACACAGAAGAGAAGTCACAGATTGGAATTTATGTTGAAAAACCGAGGGCAATTTCGCCATCCGCCATTACTGTAGCAGCGAAGGTTCCTCTTTGACTGTAATTCTAGAGAGAGAAGAAAAACGTTTGAAGAATGTCAGGTTTCGTAAGAGAGAGAGAGTAAATGAAAAAGAGGACTTGGTCTCTAGTCCAGAAAGAGGTCAAACAAGTTGAGAGTAGCAGTGGGTTTTTTTTGGAGAGAGAGAGAGAGAGAGGGGGGGGTAAAAAAAAAAAAAGCTTTCCTGAAGTTTGTCATATTAACAATTATATACAAGTTGGAGCTTTTTTGAACAATGACACCCCCTTATAAAAAATTGCATCCAAACAACCCCTGAAAGGTTATGAAAAGTCAAAATTGTCCTTTAATATTTTATTACTATTAATGATAAAATATCAAAACTCTTTAAAGACCAAATTACCCTTTGTGTAAGATCAATGCCAGCCACCCATTTTTTCTTCCCTCATCACCTTCTGTCTACCCAAACCCACTAAATCACTCACCATCGCAGCCACCACCGGACCACCACCTCTTCACCCACAACCTTTGGATTCAAAATTTTGATGGAAACATTCGTAGTTCATGAGATCGGTCGACATGAGAGAAAATTAGATCGTTTAGAACTTCTGCAAGTCTTTCTTTTGGGCTCCCGTGATGGTGACGACCAGGGTGACGAGATTGGGTTCCGATGAGGGTGACTAGCTAGCAGCGGGGATGACACGGCGGTGATGCATTTGCGACGTCGACGGCAACTAGGGTTATAAATATATATATATGTGTGTGTGTGTGTGTGTGTGTGTGTGTGTGTGTAAAGAGAAGTGGTGGATGTGGCTGTGGGTAGCGGTGGAATGATAGGTGCTTTTGGGAGGATGGAGAGAATAGGGTGAACTCAGGAAGAAAGGGAAAAAATTATTTGGTCACTTAATACACCTGTGGTATGGGCGAGGGTGGCGCCGCCGATGCCGATGCACTCGAGGCGGCCGCCAGTGTTTCAGGATAAGCGGTCGTTGGAGTTTTTGCAGCTAGTGCTAGGTCGGCGTCGAGAAGGATCTCGTTCTTCGACTCACCAGATCTATTAGCGATAACTTTCGTCTCCGTGACGACCTCTTGATCTGCTATGGGCAACCACGCCTCAATTTGGGGGTTCACTGCCACCGCCAACAACTCGACCTTTGCCTACGCAGACACGAGCGAAGCAATAACTTCTGTTGAAGATGATTCGCGGGATGCCGCTGGCGTTAACGACGTCAGGGAACCACCGGACCTGCGGTGAATGTGTCGGTGAAGAGGCAGTCGGGGCGGCGACTAAGGAGGAGCTACTTGATAGGTTCTTGGAGGATGGAGATGATGGAAGGCTGATGTGGTCGACGACGGGGATGTGACTGAGATTCCAATGGAGAATCCATGATCGCAGAGCTGATTGAATCTGTGTAGGGCTTCTCAGCTTTAGTGGTGGTTTGAGGGCTAAATTGGTCAATTGAAATGATTAGAAAGGTTAAAAAGGTAATTTTATAATTCAAATGGGTTAATTCACAAGTGAAAGGGCATTAAGGTCATTTTAGCTTGTGTGGGGGTGTCCTTGTTAATTTTATCAAACTTAAAAGGGTTTTATTGTTCAAAAAGAGGTTAATTTGTATATGGCTGTCATTAGGACAAACCTCAAGGTGTGTCATTGTAATTAATCCAAAAAAAAAAAAGTGGATAAGGTTCTGATCTTGCAATATTTGAAAATTGAGGGAATTTACAAAAAGGTATTTTATGATTATAAAATTTACACGTATACCACGTTAAAGACTTTCTAAAAACTTTAGGCAAATGGTCTAAGGATTCGATGAAATCACGATAATGCCATTACGTACTAAAATAAGGCCAAAGGCCTGCTCATGCCATTTATTGCAATGGTCACGCAAAACGCGTTTTGCATTGAAGGTAAGTAATGTTACGGTGGCGCAAGATTAAGAATATCGTTCCTGTATTGTTTGTGAATTTATTATGAATATTATTTCACAAACTAAATTATATTTATGGTAGTCACGACAAAATGCTGATTATTATTCTTTTTCTTTTTTTTAATATTACTATTCCAATTTTAATTCCCTACATATCATAAAGACTCCCCACATGGAAAATATTTTACATCCAAACAAACATAACCTAAATTTATTTTTGTCCCCCTCCCCCCAGAACTTCCTGGATCCGTGAAGTCTCTATAATATGTAGGGAATTAAAATTGGAATAGTAATATTGAAAATAATAATAATAATAATCAGCATTTTGTCAAATATTTTTTTTATTTTCTGATGTTTAGTTGTCGTAAAATATTTATGAAGAAAAAAAAATATTATACAAATAATTTATCCATAAATTTTCGGTAAATTATTTTACATGTTCCGCCTGAAGTACTCGATCTCAATTGTTGTCAGATTTATATGTATCACTCGCAAGTGCACGAATCTTTGCAGATAGGGTTTACTTGTAAGGGTGTCGTACCCAAGGAACTTGTATAAAATAAGTTTATTAACAGATTTCTTAAATTCTAAATTAACTTGAAAGTAGGATAATCGAATTGTGATGATTAATTCTAAATTAATTAAGTCGAAAAATAAAATAAACTAAAAAACAATGATTAAATAGGATGTAGTAAATAGAGAAAGAAAATTAGGGGTATGATTTCACCACTAACGTCGCACCACCAGTCAATTGCATCAATTTATTGGAGATATATCATATAACATGCACAGGGAATTAATCATGACTTCAAGCACATATTCATTCAGTTAGAAAATAGGGTAAAGTGCATTAAACTCCATTGAATTATTGGTCATTTGCAAGAAACCCCTCTGAATTACAAAAAAACCCCCCTGAACTATGATTTTGTTGCAATTTACCTCCTTGAACTATTGGTCATTTGCAAGAAACCCCCCTAAACTACAAAAAGCCCCCCTGAACTATGACTTTGTTGCAATTTACCCCCCTGAACTATAATTTTGTTACAATTTACCCCCATGACATCAGCTTCCGGCACTGAAAATTTTGAAAGACTAATTTACCCTTATAACACACTGTGTCGTTTTAACTTATACACTTCTTACATTTTTTTTCTGCCAAAAGATATTTTTCACTCAACACAACCCAAAACAAAGAGCTAGAGAAAGAGAGAGAGAAAAGACCAAAGAAATCCGAGGTCGGCGGAATGGCTCGGTCTCGGATGATGGCGGCTTGTGCGCGGAGGACTCGGCTGTGATGAGAGCTCGGTTGACTCGGCCGTGAACTGTGGAGGCGGCGGCGAGCTCAAGGGGGCTCGGCGGTGAACTGTGGACGGCTGTGTGCTCGAAACACAGACGGCGGTGTGTTCGATTATGGAGCTGGCAGAATGGGCCAACGAGCTTAGAATAGACGATGGAATGGACCGGCGAGCAAGGTGAGCTGAACGGCAGGCAAGGCGGTGACGGTGATAGGCTGACGTAACGATGCAAAGAAGTGCGATATATATGGCCGACAGATCTGGCGGGTGGTGCAACGGCTATGATGGAGCTATGATAGGAGACCCACCGATCCCAGCAACAAATTCCTCGACTTCATCATCCCTTTCAGTCAATCAATTCGTGCGGATGGGATAAACTGCAAAAAAATATTTAGTCCAAGGGGGTTTCTTGCACATACCTCAATAGTTCAGGGAGGTTTTTTGCAACTTTTATAGTTCAGGGAGGTTTCTTGCACATACCCAATAGTTGAAGGGGATTTTTTGCAACTTTTATAATTCAGGGGGGTTTATTGCACATACCCCAACAGTTCAGGGGGGTTTAATGCACTTTACCCTAGAAAATAATATAATTTAAAGCTAAGCATGGACTATCTTCGATTGGTATAAATCATCTACCTATCTACTTTACTCTAGGGTGTAGCATGGTCTATCTTTTCTAGGCATAATCCATCAAATCTCTAACATCATATTCAGAGAAATACTATTGTGTAATCATCTCATTCATAACTACAAGAAGTGAATGAGTTGTGTTCAATCACAAGATTAAAATATCTAAGATAAGATAGAAAAATATTTGTAATTGAATTAAAACTCTAAAACCATTTCTTACTGAAAATTCAATTAAAAACCCTATAAATTACACAATCATGCATGATAAAATTGTTCTCCAATGATTAAATACAATCAAACCAGTGTGCTAAGCTAGGGCTACATCACAACCTTAACAAAATGTTTAGCCAAGCATGACTGGAGTGAAATTCTTCATGGTTGAGGAAAACATCTTCACCGCCATGGATCGATCTCTTTTTTCTTCTGAATGCTCCTCTCTAATCTCAGCCTCAAGCTCCTCTGTATGATATTTCAATGTTGTAGAGGACTCCCTTTAAATAATAAAAGATCAGCCCTAAAGTTCCGTTTTTCCATATAGAAGACATACATAGAAATTTTGTCAAATAAAGACTCCAAAATTCGTACAGACTTCCAAGTCAATTTTGACAAAGCAAACAGCTGTTTTAGGGAATCATCATGAAATACAAAATTGTAACTCTTCGAATTTCCTTTCAACTATTGCGAGAATTTAGCCGTTTTGACACTCAAGGTGAGAGATACAGCCAGATTACCAAAACGGGTTCAAGTTACCAACTTTGGCGGAAGTTTCCTTTTTGGAGAAGGATTTTTCCTTTTTTTCTTCTTTCCATTCTCATCAACTTGTGACTTCATTTGGACTATTTTTTAAGTATAATTAGACTTGGATCTTCAACATTGTTTGGTCCCACGGAATGCCACATTTTAAAGCTCAGAATCACTGGTCTTGACTGATTTTACAATTAAAGTCCTGAAATAAATAAAAATAATAAAACAATGTAAAATCACAAATAAACTATTATTAAGTGAATAAAACATGCAAGTAAAGGGGCTAAAATGTATAATATTCAGCGCCTAATATCAATCTTGACGTAGACTTTTGCTAAACACCGACAAAATAAAAATAAAAGAATATTTTACCTGAAAAAAAAAAAATTCAAAAAGAATATTTTACGTTGAAACAAACGGAGCCTTAGTGTGTTTTTTTTTGTAATTTCGGAGGGTAAAGTGAAAATTTTATAGCTATATATATATATATATATATATATATATATATAACTATTTTTTGTCATTTAAAGGCTCAAAGGCCGAGCC